TCCAAGGTAATGGTTTTACCAGTCAATGTTTTGACGAAAATTTGCATGTTGATTCTAAATTGACAAAGAAAAGAAACGAAAACATTAAAAAAAATGCAATAAAATCGTTCAAAATGTTGCTATAATATGGAAATTGAATGCGATTCTGCGTTTGTAAACTAACTATTAACCCGACCAAGAATTTATGTGAAAATGCGTCGATAATTCGTTACTATATGTGATTTAATTTCGAAAAACAAAGAAATCGTTGGTTGTTCGTGTGTTTCTCGCTACAAAACTGCGCAGAAAAAACTCTATGAGTGTGTGTGAAGCACATCAGATGTTTTATGCAAGTCATGTAATTGGGAGAAAAAATCAAAATGGCGTCTGAATGAGAAAAAAATTGAAAAAAAAAAATTTTTGGCCAAAAATGAAGAAAACAAAGTATAATTCTTTGAAATAATCGTTGAAAAATCATTGATTTTCGATAATTTGGCTTGAATAATTCAGAAAAAGTCTAATTGAACAAAGAAAAAAAAAACGCAAATGGAGAAAGGCGTCAGCCAACTTTTGTTTGAATCGAAGTAACAAATGAATAAAATTATCGAATGCTTTTCCGTATGATTAATCGTTGAAAATGTTGACGAATTCACTTACAGTTATGCTTAACGTTTTAACCGAATAAATTTAATTGAATTAACTGCTTTTCAACACAATTTTCTAGAGAAAATAAAATTGCTCAAAAGTTTCTTCGTTTTGATGCGTAGTCGACAAAAGACAAACTTGCAATGAATTCAAAGCAAACAGCAGCCATAGAAATGAGTGCAGTTTGTCACATATCGTGCTCTCTTTCTTTCGCATACGACGCTGCGCTAAACGAGTTGCTAGTGAACGGAGAAAACACAAAGAGCACAAATACAAGGGAGAGATTCATATATGACTGTGACGACTAACAAAAAAATGAACATTGAAAACACGTACGTTCATGTCTGTAAATTGTCTTTGTCATCGTCACAATGGAAAATCCCGAATTTCAATATAATTGAACAAAAAAAAGATTTCCGAGTGAATTTCTAGGTTTTTGACTTATTAAACAGAAATTGAAACAATTTCGTTTGCCAACAAATGGCATTAAATCGAAAACAACCTCGTTTATAGAATTTGATTTTGCAGCGCGTCATTCGCATGAAATCAAGCTTGGTCTAAATATAAATGTCGATGACTCATTTGTTTTTCAAAGTTGGCAAACTGAATACGTGTCTAAAAAAATCAAGCGCATATCGAACGAGGTCGTTTGTCGATTCACTTTTTACCCGAACAGAGATATATTTTTTCCAGAGAAAAAAAAACCGTACGAAAAATTGATGATAGGCGATAGAATGCACTTTGTACTTTGAACGAAGACATCAATTTTTTTTCACGACGAATTTCACAGCATTTGTAAAATGGCCGACAGAAGCAATCATAAAAATGAAAATGAATAACGAGAACGCGGAAAACCGATTGAAAATTGAAAAATGCTACGCGAAAAATAGGTCAAGCGACGCAATTGAAATTTCGAGAAGGCTAATGAAACGGTATAAATTACTAGCGACGGCCATGATTGCATTCGATTCACTTTTTTCGACTATATTTTTGTACGCGACGAAAATACCAATAAAAAAAATCCCGCGATTAATCTACGATCTTCCGATTCAATGATTCAACCGATTTACTTACATTTTCAATGGATTTCTTCAGCAAAATAAATGATAGCGTTGATTGAAAGTTTTGGCTTGAGCACTTTTTTCTTCTTGAACTGTTCACTTCGACTTGTAGACGATTAATGATGAACAAAGGCGAACTCAGCTGCTTATAGTCACAACGAAACACAGTGAACGCGTCTATAGTTGTCTCTATCGCTCATCGAAACATCTAGATTGAGTGAGAAAAAGACCGTAAAAAACATGGCATTTCGTATTTTGAACAAACGTCATTTGAACATTACGTATATTTTGTTAGTATGATGAAATTGTGTTTTAAATATTTAGCGATCAAAAAAAAATTATTCAAACGAAAAAATATCAATTATTTTCATTAAACATTCATATGGAAATAGCAAATGCACAAATTATCGGAAAATTGTCAAGTTTTCAATAATAAACAACCATCACAGATTTGAGACTAGTTTTATGTAGAAAAACGTACTAGATGGCTTGACAATCGCGCTCAAGAAAAGGTCTTTGGTCTCATCCGAACACTTTTTCAAAAACCATTCAATGACGATTCATTTTCTCTCTTTTCTTTTTTCGCATGCTCGTTATATTAATGATAAAATAAGAGACAAACTGCACACCAATTAGCATCATTAGATTTATGTTGCTTGTTTCTTTAAGCTGAAATGAAATTCTCTACACGAAAAAAGTGTTTTCCAATGTCAAAAAATTCAATTTTGTTGATTAGCTAGAGTTAGTTTTCTTTCAAAGAAATGAATTCAAGTAATTAATTCAAACAAACAACATTTATTAACAACTGTTTGAGAATATTACATCATTATTGGAATTTTTCTTAGTGGCAATGTGTGATTTCCTTGAGATGATTTTAATCCTATTTCAAGAACTTGTAGCCGCGATAAATGGCATATGCTCCAAGTGCAACGGCAACAGCAGATGATGCTCCCAAAATTACACTGGAAAATTGTTTCGAAAAATATATATATAGGTATTGCTTTGAGATTCTGACATTCGACTAATATTAAGCGCTAATAACTTTCAAATTTTACATTACAAATCTACAATTTCAATGGTAACATATACAAAAGGCCAAAGGAAAAAACCATGAAACATTGAAACATTGAGTTAGTATTGGTACAATCAAAGGTTTTAACTCATGTTCGTAAAGAATAAAAAAAATAGAATGGATAGTAGCAAGGCACATCTTTGGACGTTATTGCAAAGCATGCGTGGTTAAGCTGTTAGGAAAATATTTTTCGGAACCATGACCTGCAATTATTTTTACAAAAATAGTTTTTATATGAAAATAAGATATTATAGTAACGATTAAACAATGCTATTGAATAAACAAGTAATTGCCATTAAAATAATTTCAAATTGAAAAACTGAAAATGAATATACTTTTGAATTGATGGGCACTTGTTTTAACTATATTACAGTTTCACTCAGCGCAGAGTGCAATTTGAAAATTCGGACAGGCTAGTGTTTAATAAACACAGTTTATGGCAACGCATCATCGTTTCCTCACTGAATTTGAACGGCACCAAAATAGCTGTTCAAATTCCTTTCTTTTTCTCTAAATTAAAATGCAATTAAGCTGTCATTTTCAGACTGACATCAATGCCGTGTGAAACTCTTGCGACAAGTGCTCAAAGTATCACGATAAAATAAACTGGAACTTCAAAGAGTTGAAGAAACAACTCACTTCTTTTGACCGCTTGGCTTTTTTTCGGAGTCCACGATTTCACCGACCAAGTAATTTGCCATTTGCTCGCTAAATATAGATAGAGAAAAGGAATTCACTGCATTAGAATCTATTTATATTTGTAATGAAATCAATCGAACACGCAATTCATGTATTAATATAAATGCTTTTTATTTCGGGTATAAGTGACAAAATGATAATTTGTCAAAAGAAAGATATCAGAGAATCTCTGACAGAGATAATACTCACATTGCAGATTCGCTGTGGCCAACGTCATTAAACTCTTTCGTAGCTATAATCAAAATAATCCGTTTATAAAATGGCTTGGTAATACATGTATTTGAATGCTTTTCTCAATCTTACCGTTTTTTCCAGCAGCTTCAACCAACACTTCTTCACCACCAGGATGCTAAGAAACGACAAAAAATGATAAGTGTTCATTGTCAATGATGATGATATCATATGAAAACAAACCTCGTTCAAGAATTTTGTAACATCGTAGACTTTTTCGTCAATGACCATCCAACAGTCTTCTGCTTTGTTGTGTTCCTTAACTTGAGCGTATGTGAATTTCTTTGCTTCAGCCATTAAACCGCTTTTCAAGATTTTCGATCGAAAACTAGTTCTGTGTCCTTCGGAGTAAATGAGTTTTGTCTATTCACATAACCTGTTGCGAGAAAGATTTTGTTCTGAATTAAAACAAAAACGTCCAGTTAAATTTGACAGATGAACTATTCTAATTCCAGTGAAACCTTTGACAGCTACGAACAAATTGACAATTTCATTCGAATATTCGAAATCTATTAACATATTTGAAAAAAATAATGATCAACTGATCTATAAACGCCAATTCTTTCAAGAATATTTTGGATTATTATATTTTTCATAGTTTTTTTTCAATTCCTTGAAATTCAATGTTGCCAAATGTTCCATCATTTCATATTCCATTCGTTTCGAAACGATAGAATTCAATACTATATGTCAACTACAGTGTTTTCAAATAAGAATACGATCTATGTCTACATTCTAATAATTGCTTAAATGAATTCCTTTTTTAAATTGGAAATCGACTTAAAAATGTTATGAGCAAATTTGTAAAAAGTAGCATTTTTATTTTATGCGAACAAAATTTTAAGCAATAATAAATTTCAGCTTTTTGATCGTTTGAACTAAAACTATTACAAATTCTGTATAGTCTTTTACATAAACGCAAAAACATCCGATAATAATTTAGTAATAGGTTTGTATTTGATAGGACAAAAAAAAATTCAATGAACGTTTTAATTTTTTATGGGAACCGTTATTCCAATCTGGTATGTCATTTTTCTCAATGATGAAGAAGATTGATGAGAGTTGATTGAAAACTGAAATTGTTCGCAGAGCAAAAAACATTAATTGAATTCAATATTGTCAAAGGAATGAAGGAATGTCAGTAATTGAGCCATATTTTCATCGGAAGTTGTTTTTTTTTTGTCATTTGGGTTGATTTTCAGACCTCTCTAAATTTTTGGTAGCTTCCAAAGTTTTATACTGACATTGAATCTAAATGACCTAATAAATGTTTTGAAATTTTTTATATATTAAACTACATACTAGTAAACAATAGAAGGGATAAACAAAGAATAGAAGTAGCAAATGTTGAAATCAACAATGTCCCAACTAAATCTATTTCCAGTCTATTTTCTAAACGACCTATCAAATTAAAAACACATAAATTTTGGACAAACTCACAATGAAATAAAGTGAAGTACTGCTGCCGTGTGCACGCATCGTGATGTATCACTCACAATGAATGCCCACATTATTCAGTGTCCTTGTCAAAGGGGACATTTTTATAGGATTGATGTTTTAAACGTTCACAGATTTTATGCTTGTTGTCGCACTAATTGTTATTGGTTTCAGATAATTTTTTCAAACGTTGACAATATTCCTTTTCAAAATCACTGAAATAATAAAAAAAATATTAATAATAAACTCACAAATCGTTTGAATATCAAATGAATCCCTTAGAATAAATCAACATTACTAGATGAATGTCTTCAAATGCGTAACTGAAAAAAGTTAGTCAGCAAAAGCGTTATAAAATATATGGACGATGTCACGCTTTTGCTGGCGAATTTTTTTATATAACGCGTCACATACAGTTTTTGACACTATTGCTGACGTACTTTTTTCTATAACGCATTTGAAGACATTTATCTAGTAATGCTGATTTGTTCTAGGTGGTTCAAATATATATTTTATTTAATATAAATAAATATCTCTGACCGTCTAAAAAATAATATTGAAAAATAAAATAGCGAAAACAGGAAGAATGTACCGGATATTCAATGTCCTTTCTCTATTTGAAAAGTCAATGGTGTGGCGGGTGATAAAATTGAATAGACACACGAACAATTGATCACCATGAAAGGCATTCACTTCAAAGGCGACACTCTGTCTAGGTTTTCACATAATCCTAATTCTTTTCACATTCCAGTCATGTCATTCTACTGTCTACAGTACTAACATACAGGTAAAGTGTTCAATCGATTCATGACTTAAAAGGATTTGTAAATAATAACAATAATCAGACGATGCGTGCGTCTGTGATCACAATTACTGATTTACTGGAAAGTTTTGTAGTAAAAAAAATGAATTCATGAATGAATTTTCGTTTTTCACACCAGTTACAAAAAAAATACGTTCTTTCACTCATAATAACAACAATAATAACTTTATGATTGATGGTTCATCGAAAAAATGAAATTCACCTTTTATTTTCCTTCTATCGTACAATTTTTTTTGTTCGATTTTACATTACAATCATGTATTAGGTTAAGCCATTTCCAATTGTGTGGCAAATCACATTGAACGTGATTTTCTATTGAAAATATCATGCGTTTGATTTTTACACGTAATTAGTAAATCAATTTTATGAATGAACCGTCAGCCTGTAATGTAGCAATTTTTATTTTAATAAATTCTATTTTTTGGTTTCGTTTTAATGTTACATTGTTTTGATAATATAAAAGTTTAAAAAATAAATTCGGTGCCGATATTAGCGCAGTCACGATATATGCGTTATTTATTTGTTTGTTCGTTTCTTTAATTTTTCCAACAATGTAACACATGGGAAATGATTTTTTTTGAGAAAAAAAACCATCCATTAAATTTATTCAATATGTATTTTTTCATAGGACATTAATATCTTGGCGGAGAAGCAGAAAAAAACACAAATCTAGCTGAAATTCAAATCTTGTAAATTGATTTCATTTTGTTGGCGACATTGAAGTAGATTCAGATTCCAAAGAGCATTTGCACGGCATAAGAAAAATATTGCGCGCACCTTATCCGTTATAAATGACTGCAAATTTATTTGGTACTGTAAATAAGCAATTTATTCGAGGGTGATGACAATTTATATGGAGTTTTTATTATTGTTTTCATTTTACAAAAACATTTGTAGCATTAGCATTCCAACAGCTAAAACGATGTATAATAAGAAGAGAAATTGTTTTGGGATGTTTTTTTTCCCTCTCTTTTGCTAATATAATAATACGCGCACGAATGCTCCACGTCATATCAAATAAATAGAAGTCGCACGCACCAGATGGTCTTGATTTTAAGTATTTATCAGATGAATAGAATTCGCATTGCTACAAAATCAGTGCAATGCATCGAAAATAATCGCTTGATAAATTGAAGAAATCATGCGAAGAAGGTGTGAAAAAAATTATAAAATAATTTCATAAGAAAAATTGACAATTTGATCATTTTCACTCATAGACGATATTGAAATGTTAAAAAAAAGAAATCGTCGGTTCGACGATGAGGAAGAAAGGAAGTGTTTTGTTTTTTTGAATTTCAATATAGTTGCCTAATGAACAAAAGTCAATTCCGAATCATTATTTGACATGGAATATAGAGGAAATCATGAAGAGAGAAGAAAAGGGAGAGCAAGCCCTTACTTCGTTAAAAATGATTAAGAGTGTGATGCTCTTGAATGAAGAAAATCGATCAATTATACTTAGGAATCATTGAAGAATGCACACAATAAACAAATACAATATCGGTAGGAAGCAAAATTCTCATGGACACGCACACATAAAGTATGCCGACACACAGGATCAGCTGAGTTTCAGTTTGTAAATAAACATGTCTCATCATACCATTAAATAGAAGGAATCGTTTGCTATTTATTCATATTTTTTTTTCTTCATAAATGTTTTCATAGCACCTTTTAACGCGACGCAAAAGGAAACATCGATATTAAAGCAAATTGTTCGATTGAGTTCAACAAACATTGTATATTTGATTCGTTCGATTGTGTCATTCACATTCCATTGGTGCGTATCGCATCCAATGTGAGAAGTATTTTACGGACAATAACTCATCATAAGTGGCAGACGAATGACACTTACAAATTCTATTTCATTCATTCATTCCTCTTTTTTCCATTGTTTATTTGAATGGATCTTTTTCTCATTGAATTCTATTGATCGCATTCAAAGTGGTTTATGCTTGAATGCACATGCATACACAATCAAATCTCAGCATCTTATAAATTCGATCACAGCGACTGGTCTCTTGGTGCTCGCTTTATGGTATTATATTTTTGCATGTCGTTTTCCTTTTTCACCAAATGAAAATTGGTTATTCGTCATACCAAATTGATTATTGGATCTATTTTTTTTTCTTCTTCATAAATTGCTGTTCATTAAATGGATATTTTTGTATCGTTTCAAAAGTCGACAAAAGTCAAATTGACAATTTAAAAAAAAAGTGGTAATATTATAAATGCCAAAACTTGTGCGCTGGATTGATTTGGAAAAATGTTCGGTTTCCTTTTTAATAAATTAAAATGTGTCAAGCAGTGCAACGCAAACATCTTTTGTACAAACTGCACGAACAAAAAAGCATGAAGAATACTTTTTTTTCGAAAAGGTTCAAACAACTTTATTAAACACAATCTAAATAATCGTTTCAAATTTAGCCACGGTAGCCGTATAGCCTTAACATGTCCAAATGCATAAATGTATGCATTTTAATCTCTCTGACTTTCGGATGTGAATGAGAACACAGCAATAATCCGATTAAAATGTGCTCTTTTTTATGCGCATACAATATGCTGTGGAATATATTGTGTTGCTTGCAGAAATTGATACAACCATTTTATCGTTTTAAATAAGCTCTTTCGGGTCGCCTTTTTTGACACGCTACAATTTATTTTAGTTTTTTTTTTCTGTTTGATATGAGACAAGTTGACGGAAACGTTTAAGAGTAAACTAAAAATCAGATGATGAAAACGGCGCGAACTTAATCAAATTCGTTCGATCAAATAAAAATTGTCTACACAAATTAAGCATACATGCAATATAATACAAACGATGCGTAAAATGGTTGTATGGAGAAAACGAAAATTCCATTTGACACCTTGGTAAACGTGTTTACTATCACTCATAATGATGCTATCATTGTTGACGGCATTTGTTTTTATCCCACTCTCTCTCTCCCTCTATCTCTCTCTCCTTCTTCTACATCGTCATCCAACCTGACTGCATATCGCTTATTCGTTTAAGTCACGATCGACTCTCGTTTACTTTCAATGTTATGAAAACAATCATGCATCTCGTGTGAAATTTTGAGACATTGGTGACAAGATGTGATTTAAGTTGAATGTCTTTCGAATAACCGTTTTTGATAATCTGTTTATCAGATTATATTAATTTTTAATTAGTCAGATTTTTTCACACACACACACACATACATATGCCATTCGATCAATCACTACATAATGTTTGGTATTTTACTTTGTTCAGCGATTGTTGGTGCATAAGAGAAACGATGATGAAAGTAAAATCAAACAAATCATTTTCAATGTATATTTAATGTGCTTCCGTTTTTTGTTATCCCAATTATTCTTGGAAATAGCCAAAAAAGAGAAACTTTGACACCAATTCTTGGAACTACTACAAATTACTTCAAAAAAAAAATAAAAAATCAGAATGATATGTTAAGATTTTCAAATGTAATTAGTTCTTGACGGCTTCGTTTTGCACATGTTACTTCTCTGTCTCCGTTTCGTATTTGTCCAATCATTTCATAGTAGGTGTCATTTTCACCGCGATTTACACGTGATGCATCTTGGTCAATTGCCAGTAGCTGAACGAATTTCTTCTGTACATCAGGTTCCAGTCTATATATAAAAATGGTTGGTTTTATGAATGAGAAATTATTTCTCAGAAATAAAAATGTCTTTCAATTTTTGACACACACTCACATTTCTTTTTCCGCCGTTTCGCCAAAATGATATTCTCTTGCAAGCTCTTGCATTCTCTCGAACGATGCCGAAGAATCCATTCTTAAATATTTGAAAAAAGTCACGATCATTTTAGATTTGGATTTAAAATCCCCGAGAAAAAAACACATTTTACCTGACACCATTTTTTGAAATGACAATGCTCGGAGTTGAGGATTTTGTTGCATTTTGAACTATGCGGAAATTTTCCTTAAAACTATATGGAATTCGAAATAAACCAGATGCTGTAGTGACTTTTACCAATTTCGTAAAAATAAACAAAAATTATAATGTTACCGATCAAGATTTTGATATCGAATTAAATACAAGGTTTTTATAGTCGGCAATTGTTCGAGTTTCGCTGGCATTTGTGTTTGTTTACAGCTTGCTATCAAGCTATCGACCTGTGAGTCCATCATACTACGTAGCAAAACATTGAATTGTTTCGAATTGCTATAAATATTCAAAAGATATGGAAATATTTTGAAACAAATAAACAAGTTGAATACATTCAACAGAAGACACGAATCGCACATTAAAATTTTGCTTTTACAAAATGAGCACGTTTAACTTACAATTCCTTATCGTTCTTTGCAGCTATTTCGACACTAAAATAAATGTAAAAATATAAACATTAATACGAAGTGGCTGTATCGTAAAATAGGTCTGAAGTCAAATCCTTACTTCCCACTCAAGATGCTATCAATGGGAGCACAACTCTGATACAGTGTGAAAGTGGAAGGTGTGCTAATAACAACTTGCTTTTGATTGACCACTGCCTTTTGGGGTATTTCAACAGATTCATAAATGACAGCACCTTCGTTGACGATTGCATTCGATAGAATGAAGCTAAACGGCCCAATGTATGCTTTTGGCAGAATTTTTACATTAAAATCCACCGATGAAAATTCGTCCAGGAAACTGTCATCGCCAATCTCAGCGCCATCATTAACAACAGCATGTTCGTTCATTACCACTCGATTGCCAAAAATCACATTATTGCCGATCGATGAAAATTGAGCAAATACACTGCCAGATCGTAAAACATTATCATTTCCAAATTTCGCAAACGTTTTAATGGTGACATTGTTTTCAATGTTACATCGTTGACCGATTTTAGCATGTGATCCAATATTTGTATTTTCACCAATCAATGTAGACGATGCGATTGATGCAAAGCTGCCAATGTGAGCATGTGCTTTGACAATCACACCGGTGTCAATATCTACAAATGATCCCAATCGTGCTGTTGGATCAATCTTAGCGTCTGGATGCACATTCTGAAATGACTATAAAACACATTCCATTTTCTTACAAAAATAATCCTTTCCAATATGGAAAATATTTCATAACTTTACTTACGACAACTACGTGTGCAAAACACAAAAGTACAAAAAATCCAAGCATTTTTGTCGCTTGCTAATTTTACGCTACACCACAAAAATAGAAGTTAAGTTTAAGACAATTGAATATGCACTGAGTTTAATTGCGACTCAATATATTTTTTTTTTCGTACAGTCATGTAAGTTCCGTTTATTTTAACCAATATTCTAACACGTTCAAAACTTTGTCAGCTTGCGTTGGTCAGCGGTGCAAACGGTTATATACACATAAGCATACAGCTATTTTGTACATCTATTGTAGTAGTAGTTTAGTTTGGAACTCTTTTTGTGATAGAGAGAAAATAAGTGTCAGCTGTTCGTGTCGTTTGTTTGTATTGTCCACAACAGCTAGCACATTTAACAAAAGAGAGCATTTTTTTCGGAACGGTTTTTTTGTGTGTGATTTGGCAAACACGAGGGAGAACAGTAATCCTCTCGTCCCTCTGTGATAAAAACATATTTCTTTATTTGCATGTTTTAATTTTACCTCAATCTCCGAACATACATTACAAATGTAGTTTTCCAATTCATTTTTCATCAACAAATTTAATTTTCGACCGATGTTTATATGGCAACCTCACGCATGTAGAATTCAAAAAGTGGTTTAATTTCGACGACGACGGGAAGACGCCATTCTTTTACTTTTTCTTATAGCTATTATTATAACATGGATACATTTTAATATCTTTTTAGTAAATTCACATAGAATTTTGGCACTTCGCCTTCATATATTACTTCACATCCAACTGCATGGAACACTTTCATATCATAACTATTTGATCAATTTTGCAGCTGGTGTGGAAAGGAAAAGAAAAGCAAAGCATTGCTGGTACGATATGAATAATATCGGTCCGCCAAAATGGAAATCAATGTTTACGAAATCTTTCGTGAATTCAAACAAAAGATTAAAATTATTATAAACTCTGTCCATGTTACGATATAGGTTTTAAAACGCTACAAGTACTATACACTGAAGTTGTTTTTGTCAAACATTTTGGTTCAAAGAAGGTTCAGTAAAAGCACCAATTGGGTGCTATGGAATGGTTTTTGTAAAGAAGGCTTGCTTGAGAGAGAGATAACAAATGAAAAGACGAATAATTCATTTCGGTACGAGGCAGACATGAATCAATTAAAATTAAACAAAACAATGTGTTGTGGTTTTTTTTCAAATGAAGTTTATTTTTTATTTTTTTTTCCATTAAATTCATGTTTCAGTTGACACTATGTTTTTAAATTTATATTATTTACTTAAAATTAAGTTGATTAATTCTGTGAGGTTTTGTTACTATGTATTCTTCGCATATCGTTTATGTATGCAAATTGCAAAGCATTAGAAAATATTTCTAAATTAAGTACAACATATAGTGCGAATGTAGTTTTTTTTTCCAAAGTGATAGCATTAACGAAGCTATAGAAATAATCATAAACATATGAAATAAACTGGAATCAAGTTTCAGAAATATATACTATTCATTTATTTTTATGTATATATGTATATGTGTATGTACGTATTTTTTTTTATTCAACATTCTTGACATACCGACACGACACGATATTATGTGCTTGCTTCTGCTCACAACACGCTATTTATGTACGTTGGAGTCAATATTCTTAGATTATTGTTTTCACTTTGTTTGTGGTTTTGCCAATGTTAAATTAAAAAAAGGGAATTATGTTAAATGGTAGGTGATGTTACAACCAAAATACACAAGTTCTTTTTAATCACTACGGAGGTGAAGGGGATCTCGAAACATTTCAATGAATTTTGATGTTGATGATACTTTTGATAGTAATTTCAGGTGATTGTATGGAATACTGATGATTCATTGCGTGAATGATTTGGAAAAGAACTTTTTTTAAATATTTTTTCTATTAATGAAGTGTTGTTATCGTCCAATATCTGCGTACGATACATAAACTGTTACAATACAATAGATAATACACATGAGTGAATCTGAACGGGTAATATCCCACGCAAATCACTCATCAATTCTTTTACATTGAATTATTTAAATTTATCACGAAGTTTGTCTAATGATTAAAAGTCAAAAACACTTCAATTCCATGTAAATAATTTTATGATCGGTGTACAGTATTGATATATTCAGCGGGCATATTAAAAACTGTTTGCATGAGATCCTACCAAAATAAAAATTGGCTCACTAAGGTTCGTAGCTGTTGTTGATTTTAAAATGCATTGTTCTTATTTGTATTGGTTTCATTCAAAATCATTTTGTTATACAAAATTGCTTATGTGCACATTTTCAAAAATGTTCCATTGAATTATGATCAAAATTAAATTTTAATAAAAAAAAAACGAATGGAAAAAGAGAAAAATATTACTATGATGCAAGGTTACCATTTTTTGGGCCTAAGTTAATCTCAATAAGACCATGATTCAACGTTTAAATTATTTAAATACAATTACATTTAACTTTGACTTGTCGAATTTACACACTGACAATTTTCGCAATTTTCTTAAGTTCTTCTTGAAAATAAATTCGTTATTTTTTTTTGTTTTGCCTAGAAGCTAATTTGTTCACATTATTTTCTAAAACTAAGTACCGTTTGTTTATCCACCGATTAATGTTGGTTATTTTGTTTTGTTTTTTGTTTTATCTTAATTTTAAATTACAAATCTATTAATCTAATAAATATTATCTGTGGTGATTTTATTTTTTATTCTCTCATTATTTTTCATTCTGTTATTGCCAATATACCAATTCATATTTAAATTTTGTTTTTGCTGCTGTTTACATTATCTCGGTTAGTTGAGCGAACATCATATGATTCTTAAAATAAAAAATTAATGCCTCATATCGTCGTCCATGCGGCAACGTTTTCGCGGACTGTCACTCATATCAAGGCTTTCTGCATCGCTATCGATTGCTTCGCTACAATCACCATCGCCATCCCCCAATTCTTCTTGTTTTCGCTTTGCCGTTGCCATTTCGGCTGCATGCTTTTTTCGCCATTTAGTCCGACGATTTTGGAACCACACCTAATTAGAAGGATGAAAAATAATAAACATGAAGATATAAGTAACATATCAAAAATTGATTTTTTTTCTCATTTGAAACTAAAACTGCTTGGAATATTTTTGCTTAAGTTTTTTGTATAAAATTGAACAGAACCACGGAATACATTTATGTAAAAAAAACCGCAACATTGCTCATTGTAGTAAACAAGTTTTAGCCATACACATTTCTATGGACATTTTCCAAAGGCTGAAGGGAATATTCCAAAAGAGCGTATTATTAATAATTATTATTAATGACGGAACCGCCGCTGAATAATGAATGAGCATAAACACTTTATGACAACGCTATTTATCATTGTTCTTTTCCATCAATTATATGGTCACAGCTTTTCAAAACACATTCATTCCAAGGCCATGAATTGCGCTACAATGTTTGGGCTATATCAAGCGAAGATATGTTCAAGATACCAAAATTAATTGAAACATTTACATTTATCCTTATTCGGTGTAATTATGCGATGGGGAGGGGAACATAGAATGAAAACTCAATAATGATACGTTTTAGATTTAAATCGTTTTTGTTTAATCCTTCTTTTTTTGAAATTTTCATCATTTCAAAAAGTATTTTATGAAGTACCATACACTTGACAAAGTGCTTTTATCCCAATAATACTGCGTTAGTAGTAGAGAACATATGATACTTCTATTGCCTGCTATTAATTCGTTACATTTGAGAGAAAGAGGAATCTGAATGAAAAAATTTCCATCGTCTTTCGCAATCGAATGCTATGGCCTCATTTTCGGGCTATAGATATTCTATTATGGTTTGAAATAATTTGAAACCATATGAATAAAGTGGCGTATGTGTATGTGGTATATGCATTTAATGTTACCTTTATCACTGTTAATGTGACATTCAAATCTTTTTATTTTATTAAATCATTTTTAATAATTGTGCATACAAGCGATGCGATGTTAGGTACACATGGTATAAGTTTTTGAATTACCATGAATAAATCCAATTGAATTCATGCTAAGAATGACATCAAACGGTTGGAAAATGAGCCGATAATATGTTTTACAATAAAATTCAAGCAGAAATGCTCCAAATCAAGTGTATCGGTCAATTAAATTGAAAATTTCAGAATTGTGTTTTTATGCGCTTGTAAATTCAGACTATTCAATTACACTTTAAATCGTTAAAACTAAAGACATTCCATTAAATTATAACAATAATTATAATAATAAAATTTATTTGGTGTTTGTGCCACAGGCTTTCTTTATTTCATTGTTGAAAGCCATCCATAAACATTTTCATGGTTTTTTCGGCTGAAAAGTTCGAAAGTGGGTAACACTTGTCGCATATATATATCCCAGTGAAACCCTCAACATCGGTACTTTCTGGAGACGGAAGGATTTTTATGGACGTTTTGTATCATCTGCTCAACGAGTTTAACGTAATGAGAGTGTGTGCGCGCGTGTGTGTGTGTGAGCAAGGGAGAGGAAAATTGTGGTTAAAATATGTTAAACTCATCTTAAACATTTTCATAAAATATGCCGAAATCATAATTTGTAAAACAAATGTTTCGGTATGATGCGTGTGTACAATCAAAATAATTTGCACATTTGAGATTGCGTACACCATTATTATAAAATGTCATGACAAATATTTCTTATGTTTTATTTTCATGAAACATTTATGCTTTAAATTTTGCGTATAATAAAACGAATTCTTGGAAATGTGGTAAAAGAATGGGTTCACGGCAATAATTAATCATTTTAAGAACACATGAGTTCAAATTCGTGTTTGATCAAAATAGAGCCCATTGATAATTAACAAACAATATTTTTATGACTTTTCAATCAATGTGATTTGTACAAATTAATTTGTCTCAGAATTTGCACCAAATCCTTTGTGATTAGCTTCATTTCAAAAATATAATATAATTTTGTTGTATTATGTAGCGATTTTTTTTTGTTTAAATCGTTCGGGATTGTGTGTGTTACGTGTGAAAAAGTGAACAAAGCGCAACGAATAAATCCGTTACGAAGTTTGTTTTGCACGTAGTTTGTGTGTGTGTGTACGAATGTGTGTGGTAAATATGTCATTATGTATGAGAGAAAAATCAGAGTGTATTGCATCTGGCAATTTATATGAAAAATATTTACCACAAACATCCATACAATACGGAGAAAGAGAGAGAAATCGAGCAGCCAAGAGCCGAGCTGAGAATTGTAATCATGCACAGAAGGAATAATTGGACAGACCCAGAATGGAGAAAGAGAGAAAAAATTCTTTGCACATCTGTGACCGGATGGATAATGTAGAGAAAACCACCCTTAATGATGTGTACCGTTTGTTATGTTGTTACATACACACACACACACTCTCTCTCTTTCTCTTTCATAAGAAGAGAAACCATGGGTTCACAACACACATTCAGGCGCTTATGCAGAAAATTTACGTGTTTTTTAATAACAAATAATACGATCTATTATTGTGATAAATTGTAAAGTATATTTTGATACCATAAAACAGTAGAAAATGGGTCTCATCGGCATAAGAATATCATAATGACCGAATCAACGATGGGATAAGAATGCTTTGCTCTATGCACACATTCCAACCCAAAAAATGAATTCATGTTTTCTTTTTGGTAACATTTGCAAAGTTGTCTTGGTTTAGTTGTGATTTTAATTTCGTACACTAAATCATTTTAATTGTACAAATGGTAAACGCTTTTAATTTCGATCTAATTTGCGTTAATCATAATATAACAATTATTATTCGTTTAATGTGTAAAATTGATTATGTTCGGACACATAAATACCATAAGCTACATCTCTGACTCAAATTTCATTAGAGACAAATCAATTTTTGGGTAATATACGTTTCGCTTCGCCTCACAACCAGACACACATTCTATATGGTGAGGTGAAACCGAAACGATTGGAATAAGAATTTACAAATGAAATGCGTGTATTATTATGTTATACATTAGTGTGTGTGGCGAGAACAAACTCACACGTCGGTTCATCGCGATGATTACATCTTCATTTGGTCGTATTCGTTAATATTATTTTCTCGTAAAAATGAATATGTTGCGTAGTGAGAAGGGAAAGCACAATGATTCGGTAAAAATTACTCGAAATCAGCAGACGGTGCTCAATGTGCATTTGTCATAACGCAATATTCTACGGCTGGTCGTTGTTTTTTTTCTTCAGCCACAGAATGACTCCAAACCGTAACCATATGGTATGTATTTTATAGCATAATGACGATTTTAATTAGCAGTCATTTGCGCATCTTTTTCGAAATTAACATATATATATATGTGCATTGATTGCTCTTGTATTATGTATATATTTTTTGAGATTTTGTGAAATATATTTCTTCGACTCAATCGCAGAAATATTTACAATCAAGTGGAATAGTTCAAGAGCTATCGTTCGTTTTTTGGTGTCGGGTAATCAAAGCAGTAAATCGAACCATTTAACTTCGAATTCATTTGTCATCCGAATCTATACACCGACCGGTATATCTTGACACACTTCTTGGATTCAATGGATGGCATTAGACACAATTTGAATGGAAATAGTGAAACAGAAACGATCTTCTGTCGACTTAAAAAGGATTTTCTGACTGAAAATGAAAGCGTCAATCGATAAACTAAAATATTTTAATGGTTCAAATGCAAGAACGAACAAAAAAAAAATGTGTGAAATTCGATGGAGAGAGCATTAAATTCAAAATGGTGACACTTTGAAATACACAGCAATATTGCCAGAAAATAGCGAAGCTAATGGCATTTCTATTCTGATGCAGGCTTTATATGCGAACCGAGATCACAGATAAACGATTGACAAATTACTTTTGTGTGAAATAAAATGGTTCGGTTTGGCTTAGTGCAGCCTGATAAAAGCGGAAATTCGCTTTGATTTCAACCAAGTATAATTTGGTTGCTAAATAAAAGGATTACGGTTTCTCTTTTTTTCGATTTTCAAGTGTATCGCATCGAAATACACTTTCCATATCATCGATTTAAACGAAATGCCAAACTTTAAAATGAAATCACCATTTTCAACTCGATATGTGGTCCATGTACCATCGCTTTTTCCCTCCTTTTAAACCGTTCTTGAGACATTCATCTTTGTACATCAAAACAATTTTAGAAGGTGACTGTATTTCATTGTTGCTTTCGCATATAAATTTCCATTCTCTGTGGAGTCACTCATTTTAAAATATTCATTAAATTTTTTTAAATTTAAATATATTTTAAATAAAAAGAATATGATTTTTTTTTTGTTGAAAAAATTAATTCTTTTGCTTGAGATATGAATTTCATTAATCCTTTCCCTTTTCTTAAAAAGCTGCACTTGTAATTTAAAATTATAGTTAAATTATGCAGAATACGGTTTTCTTCCATTTCACTCCAATCAAGATACTTTTTTTCTTATTTTCTCTTCGAAGCATAACTCTTCTATTTTAATTTGAATCGGGGTGAAATTTCATCCTTGTGATTTGTTGAACAATTAACCAATGAGGGACAGCATTTGAACGCACGTAGAATGGCGAGTTGAAAAAAAGAACAAAACTTTGCTTATGAATTTCGAGATAAATCGAGTTTTTGTATTAGAAGAATCAACAACAACGCATACGTCATAACATAACATATGTAACGTTGTTTCAAATACAAAACAAACAAAAACATCGAACATGAAATAAGTGTTTTGAAATTCAATTAAAATGGTATGACATATCTTGATGGTTCATACGCATTTTTGTACATGTGCGATGAGCAATGAGTTTCATTTATCCCTGAGAGAGCGAGACACACAGAGAGAGAAAAATTCGATGAAATTGCAAAGATCGCATCTGTGAAATGTTATTTCTTGTAATTCTTCATTTGATTTTCTTTTTCATTTCATTTTCTGTTCATATTGGTATTGTATGTGCAAGCCATAACAATAACTAGACCGTTTGTGTAATCATAGTTGATGCCCGTAAACTTTGGTATTCG